AATTACATGTAACTGCATTATTTTCTCAAAAATGACAAAAAAAAAATTCACTGATTTTCTCAGATGATGTCCCATATTTATATTTCGTTATCTTCATCAACTTCACTCTCTATCTCTTTCTTCTTTTCCTTTTTGACCCACTCCTGAATTGCATCTACTGTTATTTTCCTAGGGTTTTTTTTCATTGGTAAAAGTTTTTATTGTAGAAGCAAGCAACTCCTTTCTCTCCAAGCAATTCATGAATTTCGATGGCCATTTTACAGAATGAAAAATTTGGATTCAGTTCAGTCTTTTTATCAAATAATTGTTTGAAACCCTCCCATAGATTTTTGATTTCTTGTGAATATTTTTTATCATCAGTAAGTTTGTCTATTTTATTTTTGAATTGACTTTTTCTTGGTTCTATTTTATCGATTATTTGATTGATTTTTTGATTTATAATAGAGAGTTGATTTGTGTAAGTTTTATAGTGAATAAGGATCAGATCAGATCAGATTTGAATGAAATCTGATCTGATCTGAAATATAATCCGATCTGATCCGATCTGACCTGATCTGAAATCCGATCTGACCTGATCTGAAATCTAATCTGATCTGATCTGAAATCTGATCTGAAATCCGATCTGATCTGTTTGATCTGTTTGACCTGTATATATACAAATTTATGATACCTATTAATATCCTTTATTGAAAATATCCAATAATATAATAATGATAAATTTCTTTGCATAAAAATACCTTTCAAATGTTTTTAATGATGGTCTTAGTGATAATTTTAATGATTCTTATTAACAATTTTCTTTATTGCATGTGCCTCAAAATTTGGTTAAAAGGGGTATTAAAAAGTTGAAAAAAAATTTTGTTTTTCTATTTTTATGTAAAAAAAAATTATTTTTTTTATATTATCTTTATGCAAAATAAATAAGCACAAAATTAAGCAAATTAAAGTTAATTTCCAAATATGGTATTAATATCATATTTTGTGTTGTGTCAAAATATAAATTGATGTGACACAAAAATTATTGATCTGAAATCTGATCTGATCTGATCTGGTTTTGATCTGATCTGTTCGGAGCCTTAATAGTGAAGTAAGAAACCAAGCAAGAGTCCAATTAACAATCTGCAAACAAGTTCACAGTTGAAAGTAGGCATTTTTGTGAATGAAAATATTGTAAATATTTATTGATTATTTGTTTTTTAAATTGTGTTTAACAATGAATATTGAAGGATTTGTTTTTTACCTGAAAATAAGTAGTTGGTGATGTTTTATAAAACACCCTTAAACGTAGAATTCATTGAAACAACTCAAATGATTGATAAGCAATGCAATAAGATGATTGTTAATTACATTTACATAAAGGTGATTTTTCTTCAGTAAAAAAAAATAGATCAATATGTAATAATAAGATTATTTTCCTTTTAAAGATTTTTGCTTTTTATTAGGTAACAATGCATCATCATGATGCTTTCTTTTTCCAACATTTATTTTTTTTCTTTCTTCTTGGTAAATTTCATAGGTAATCTTTTCTTTTTTTAAATAAGCTTCAAGTGCCTGAGTATCATTTATTTTGAAAATGTAAGGAGCAATTTTTTCACCTTGTTCTTTCTTCAAAATACTTCTAATGGTGCTATGATGCAAGTCACTGAGTCCCACAACTTTTTATTGGTCATGTAGATTTTCAAATTCTCCAAAAATGGAAATGCAACACCCCAAAATAAATCGTATATTTGAAGCCAAGACCTTCCTCTACAAAATCACAATTTCATCTCAATGATATGTCATGTTGTTGTGGAGAATTTGAGCTTCAAAGTTGCACAAGTTTACTGAATTGACAAAAAAGTTAATATTGATATCAAAAATAGACAAAATAAAAATTTGAAAAATTTTCCTTATATTGCAGATCCTTTGTCACGTGAATTTTCCAGATGAACGAGAAGAGAATTATCTTTATTATTAAAAAAAATACAAAGAACAGCTAAGTTCATTTATTTTAAAACTAATAAATAGACTATTGCATTAATCAAAGGAATATGCAATTTGCAAAATATTCTAATGATGTTTATCAATTATTTAATAGTTTGTGTAGGAGTAATCAAAGTAAGCTTTAAGGACAAGCAAGATCTATGAACAAAATATACTAGTGAAGGTTTTATCAATCATTCAATAGTTTATATAAATTTCTCTTTTATTTTAACTAATATTTAATAACATCACTATAATCATTATTGTTGTTGTTTATTGTTTTAATCATCATTTACATATGTATACAGTCAAACCTTGTCATAACAGATTTCGATCTAGCACAAATTTAGAAAGTATCTGCAGAAATATTGTATTTGATTGGATATTTCTGCAGATACCTTCTAAATTTGTACTAGATCGAAATCCGTTATGACAAGGTTTGACTGTATATAGGAATAAATGTAAAAGAAAATTTTTTTAGCACTTGACAATTTTCAAAAATCATGTGACTGTAAAATTTTTATTGCATTTTTGATTGGAAATTTTTTCTCAAAACTGGCAGTGTGGCACAGAAAGTTGTGGGACTAAGTGACTTGCACTATATAAATAAAGCTTTTGGTATATAATTATTGTACATATATATAATATTTTTGATATTTTTTTTTTTTGTAAAAAAAAAATAGTGCAGCACATACAAAAATTTTTCAATATCATTTCTTCTAGGCGATAATTTAGATAGTATGTGAAGTGAATTATCCTGAATATATATAGCCAAGTGCTTTATGTGGTTAGAGCAAGAAAAAAAAATATTTACATGGATGGTTCTTCAAGAAAAATACATGTTTTTAATAATTGTCTGTCTTAAGAAAATTGACATATAATATTATTAACCAATGCCACAAGTAATAATCATATGAAAGCTAGAGTCTTCAATAGTTTGTGATGTGAGGCATAATTCATGATGCAGAATAATTCATGATGCGAAGCATACTTCATGACATGGGACATAATTTGTGACGCAGGACTAAGGTTGTGGGAGAAACTCCTCCAGAAATCAATCGACAGAGTTTTGACAGGTTACACATTAATTGTTTATTAGAGTTTTGGCAGAGTTTCGCATTTGGGGTTTTTGCCAATCATCAGAGTTTCAACAGGTTACACATTAATTGTTCATTAGAGTTTTGACAGAGTTTTGACAGTCATTAAGAGGTTTCGCCCACAACCTTACACGGGACGTAATTTGTGACATGGGGCATAATTTGTGACACAGGGCATAATGATGCGAAGAAAACACAATCCTGAAATTATTTTTTTAAATTCTGAGGATTCCATTGATATCTTATCAATATATAGGATTTTGAGTTAAAGACTGGTGATGTCTTTAGATGATTGCCACTATAGGACATTTTATTTAAATGATTGACCTAAAAAATCATTACAAAAATAAGTCACTTTTGACTAAGTGAAAAAAACATCAGGTTAATTAATAAGTAGAGGAAGAAATGTTTATTTATTTAATTCACTTGTAAAAATAATTGTATAAAATAGCACAATTAGCACAAAATTTAGGAGACCTTTAGACCAAGCCAACTATATTAATTACAAATTTTATATCTCAATAAGGAATTTTGTGACATTAGAATTTCTATTTTCACAAGGGTTAACCATTAGAATTATTTTAATAAGGAAATGAATGTGATAAAACAAATGAGTATGAGAGAGATAATGACATTAGATCATTGTTTTTACAAGGGTTAACAAGGAATTATTAAAGATATTAATATATATATACTACTATTTTTAGAATGTTAATCATATTGTTACCATAAACAAGACCTTTTCAATATCTTACAAATTCCATATTAATTCCATATTAATTCCATACCCTTCATTACAGTTTTAAAAAATGGAAAATTTTTAGAATGTACATAAAATACTGAAATTCTGTAATTTATTTTATATGTCTGTATAAAACATATGGAAATTCCATATTTTATTTTTTATAGGGTATTTCGCATAACAAATATTGAAGGATTTATTATTCCACAATGCTATTTATTTGCAAATTTCAATCATTTAAAAATTTTATCAAATTTAATTACCAAATTTTTTGTTGAAAATTTTTAAAGATTTTGTTAATTTTTGTTTAGTATATTTAAAATGTCAAATTCAGTTGATTTTTCTGGCAAAGCTTCCAATATTCCAATGCAAGTTCAGCCAATGGAAATTTTTGAAATATCTTCAGATGAATCAATTAATAGTGATAAAACTGAGAGTTATGGAGATGAACAAAGATCACATAATAGAAAAACTATTGATCCTGAATGGATTAAATCATATCCATGGTTAAGAGTTGAAATTGTTAATGAAGAAACAACCCTATATTGTGAAATATGTAGAAATCAAAATGGGGAAACAAGATTTGCAAGAGGCACATCTAGTTTAAGATTATTAAGAATTAAAGAACACTTAAAAACCAAAGAACACAAAAAATCTGAAGAATTACTTGAAGCAGAACAATTTCAATCAATTCAATCAAATCAATTGAGCACATGTAAATTAACAATAATTTCATTAATGAGAAATATTTATTTTTTTGCTCAAAAAAAAATATTTCATTGAATATTTATCCTGATTTATGTGATTTAATGTCACTACAAATCAAAAATCAAAAGGAGTTAGTAATCAGTGGTAAAAGCTCCAATTTAAAATCTGCTTCCATAAAAAAACCATCATCATCTAAATCAACTTATGGAAGCTATACCAATGATAAATCTGGTTTTGAGTTTTTAGAAAGCATAGTTTCTGTTATACAAAAGGAGCTTTTTGAAGAATTGAATTTATCTCCATATTGGAGTGTGTTGATTGATGAGACAAACTCTGTTGATAATAGTAAATATCTAGCAATTGTAGGAAAATATATGGTAGATAATATACCATATATGAGATATTTAGGAATGATTGATTTAGAATCTACCACTGCTGAAAATATTTTCAATCAAGTAAGATTATTTTGTGACAATAATGAAATATCTTCTCAAAAAATAATTCATTTTGGAAGTGATGGTGGATCTAATATGATTGGTTATAGAAGTGGTGTTGCTGCAAGGCTTAAAAAAATGAATCCATTCATGTCATCTAATCATTGTGTATCACATAGGCTTCATCTGGCTGGAAAAGATGCTTCAGATGAAGTTTTATATTTTGAAAAATATGAAGGAATTTTAAGAAATCTTTATGTGTATTTTTCTAAATCACATAAAAGAAAAAATATTCTAGAATTGATGCAGGGTATTAATAATGAACCATCATTAGTAATATTAAACTTATGTGATACCAGATGGTTGTCTTTTTCCAACTCTGTGGGGAATTTATATAGAATAATGGATTCAGTGCTTGCAGCCCTCAATGAAGGAGTTGAAGAAGGTGATATACAAGCTGAATCATTATACAACCAGATAGATGAAGATTTTATTTTAGCAACAATGTACTTTGCTGATTTAACAGATATTCTAAAAAAATTAATCAATATATTTCAATTGGATTTTTTATCATTCTCTCAATTTAAAACAGAACTTGATATTGCAATTGGTAAAATAGAGTGTGAATTTATTGGTAATGAAGATTTTCCACCTAAAAATGGTTTAATCTTCAAGAATTATTTAAATCAAAATCAACATGATCCTCCACTATTTGTAAAAGAATATTCAATTGCAATAATTAATGCTATTAAAAAAAGATTTCCACAATCTGAATTATATGGCTCATTTAGCATTTTTGATCCAAAAGAAATTCCAGATGATGATAACCAACTAGACTTATATGGAAATAAAGAAATAGAATTTCTTGGTAAATTTTATGGAGAAATTAAAATCATAGATGGAGATGAATTCCAAGAAATTATTCATAAAGATACACTTAATGAAGAATGGCCTTTAGTAAAAAATTTTCTCCGTTGTAATAAACTCACAGAAACAGGTTTTATTAATTTCTGGAAAAATATTTTTGATTCAAATGAGGATTTTTCATTTAATTATCCAAATATAGCTCTTCTAGTTAAAATAGCACTTATTATTCCTCTTTCAAATGCTAATGTTGAAAGAATATTTTCTCAAACAAAATTAATTAAGGATAAAATAAGAAACAAAATGAATATTAGCACATTAAATAAACATTTAATTATTAAATTAAATGGACCTGATATTGAGGATTTTAATTTTGAGAATGCATATGAACATTGGATAAATAAAAAAAGTAGAAGAATTTTTTTTTAGAAGTAATTTTTGTAATTTAAAAAAAATAAATCGGAAAAAAATTTTTTTTTTAATTGGATAATTTGGATGTGCGCAAAAAAATTCTTGCAGATCGAATTTCGAACACTGCATATGATAGTAATAGAAATAGGTTGAGTCAAATGCGATTAAGAGACTTGGGAATTGAGCAAATTAATTTTGACATGAGAGAGAATTTATTGTCAGTATTTTTTTATTTTACTATTACTATTACATGTGAATGATCAACATTACAAAAAAAATTTCTTTTTTTAATATAAATAAAATTTAATTAATAAAACAATAAAAATATATAAATTATTACCAAAAAATAATTTTACTTTACAATTAAATATCATTCATCATCTTCTGAGTCAATAATTGAAAAAGGCTCTGTTGAAGAAGTTGTTTTTGGTAATAAAGTTGTTTGAGAAATGGGCGTAGAAATGGGTATTGTGTGACTAATTGTAGAGGAATTATTGCTATCAGCAGATTCAACTTGATCATTGGAAGATGTATTGGAATCCGATGGAGCCTCTGGAACTTTGGGTTCTTTTGACAAAGTAACAGTAATAGATTTTCCTTTGTGTTTGTTATACATTTCATCATATTTTTGTAAAGTTGTTGATAAGTTATCATTTAAAATCAAAAGTTTCTCTAAAAAATCATTGATATCATTTATATCGTTGAAAGAAAATATTAAGTTTTTTTTTTAAAAAATAAATGACTTTATATTATTTGATTAATAATGATTCTCACCAAGTAAATTCTTTTCAATAACAGATGAAAGATATGGTGTTATTTTTGTTTGAAGATTTTTACATTCATCATATAATTGCTTTTTTTAAAAAAATAAGGTTTTTAGTATCATTATTATTATAATAATTAAAATAAAATCATGATGTGTATATATATGCAAATACCATTATAACTTCATTTGGAATTATTTGATTGTTATTATTATTATTATTATTACTATTTGATTTTGATTTTGATTCATCATTTACCATCATTTCTTTTAAAAGGCTTAGACTTTCTTCAGCAATTTTAATATCTTTTTTTAAATCATCCAAATAAATTCCTAATCCCGTCTCTGAAGATTCAGCTTCATCAAACGAATTTGACAATCCAGAAAAAGACTTTGTTTCAAAGTCCGGTAATAAATAATTAAAGTCTCCATTTTCTGTATCACCCTTCTGTGCCAATTCAGTATTTCTAACACATGCACGAAGAATGTCTCGAGAAAGTCTTGACATTTCTGCATCATTAGGCTTCACATATTGAAATATTATAAATATATATGTGTATGCGTATTTGTGTTAATATTAATTTTTTAATAACTTACTTGAACATTGACATCTAAAACACGAACACTATGATTCATCTTTATTGAAACCGCTAATGCCATAAGTCCTGCAATATCAATTCCTGGGTTAGATGTAAGGTCTAAATGAGTTAAAGTCCTGGTTTCTGGAAGATATTCTGCAAGAGCAATTGCACCTAAAATAAAAATAGTTAATACTAATTTTTTTTTGAACGTCGAAGAAATTTAATATCTATACATTAAACACCTTCTGTCATTAAATTTACATCTGATAGGATCAATTTTTTAAGAGAATCATTTACTGATAAAGAATTTCGAAGCGATATTATCTATATTTTAAAATGTTTAAAACACGTTTAAATATAATTAAATAGAAGCATATCAAGAAAGATACATAGCATACCCCTTCTGCTGAAAAACCTCCAACATTGTTCCTGCTTATATCGAGTAATTCCAATGTATAATTATATTTCTTTATTTGTTAATAGAGATTTTATTAATAGCTACTTTAATATGAAACAAAATTCTTTTAATTGATACTATTCAACTTACAAAACCATCGGCCAAATTTAATAAGCCTTTTGAATCAATTCGATTATCTAGTAAATATAGTTCTTTTAAACTTCGATTTCTTCTTAAAGCCTGGGCTATATATTGTATGCCACCCTATATTTTAGGAAATGACTATATTAAATTTAAAGTATATAAAATATATACACATGAACATATATGCATGTATATGATGTTACCTTTAAATCATTACCACTAACATCTAATACTTCCAAACCCTGTCTTCTATTTCTTGATCTTTCGGCTTTAGCCTCTTCTTGTTCGTTGAATGCTGGCATAGTAGAAACTGAAATTGATGGATTATTGGGAGTCCAATTAAAGTCATCGTAATCGCGTAACATAACACCAATCCATACAGCACCAACATGATTGATATTATTAAATTTAAGTGACAGATAATGTAAATTTGATCTTCGAATTCCGGGACCTATAAGTTTTTTAAGGAAGAAAAAATATCATCATTTATATTTTATTTTACTGGTAATGCAATAATAATACATACCCAAAACTTCCAAAACATTGTTCTTTAGTGCACAATTATCTAACTTGAGTGTTTTTAGTATAGCACCAGATTTACTATTTCCTTGTGTTAAAGCTTGTGCTAAAAAAGTAGCAGATTTTTTGTCAATATTTGTTCCAGAAAGATCAAGATATGTCAAAGTTGTAGACTACAAGAAAAATTAATTATAATCATCATTAACAAATTATTATTATATGATGAAGAACATTTATAATTATTGGTGAATAATTTACCTTTTTAATATAAATTGCTATATAATTAAAACCATTGGATCTTATTCTTCTATTATTGGCCAAATTGAGATATGCCAATTTATCATTCACAAGTAAACTATGGCATAGAATTTTTAAAGTCTATAAAGAAAAAATTTGATTGAAGATTAATCTATAGACTTTTTAAGAAAATAATGATGATGATAATAATAATCCATACATCATCTTCTAATTCACACCTCTCTAATATTAATTTTTCCAAGCCAAATTCAAGTGTAAGAACATCTGCTATAGGTTCAGCAATGTTGCGATCAATAATATCACCTAAATAAATAAAATAAGCATTTATATCGAAAATTGCCATTTGTCAATAATATATAATTATTATTATTATTATTATTATCATTATTGTTATCATTATTGTTAGAAAAAATTTCTCTAGTTATTATAAATTTGCAAACGATTAATATCCAACCTGTCAAATCAATAACTTTCAAAGATCCTCCTTGCTGATTTGCTTTCTAATTAATGAAAATGAATTAAAAAAATTATTTAAATTATAAAAAAAAATCTATTTAAACATTTACATAGTTTACCCTAAGGATATCCACAAGTCGATCGACAGGAAATTCTTCTCGAATTTTACAGGCAGAAAGATAAAATTGCATTATATCTTTAGCCGAATAAGATGTTTTCTGATCCGATTTTGGTTGCAATTGCTGATTTATAGGATTTTGGATATTACTCCATTCATGGAAATCGTATTCTTCTTCCCAATCACTATTATCACTATCACCGGGGATTGGTGAATGTGGATGTTCATTTGTTAATTTATTTACAGAAAATCGAACCCGTTTAAGAGTTTTAGGGGTGAGAAGATTGTTGTTATTTGGGGATGACGATAAATTTTCATTATTTAATTGCGAAACCTGTTCTCCTGGTAAATCATTAACATTCAACACATTTAATTTGGGGTTTTCTTGTTTTTCTTCTTCTTCTTGTTGTTGATGCTGATGTTGATGTTGATGTTGTTGTTGATGTTGTAGTGGTTGTTCCTCTTCTGTGACATTAGCAACAGCAGCGATAGCAGGAGCAGCGGTTGCGGTGATAGCAGTAGTGCTTAAACGTTTCAATGTATTTGAAAAAAAAGAAGCGGCAGTGGATGATGAAGCGGTCGAAGTAGTTGTAGCTGTAACGTTAACGACATTTTGAAAAGCAGCAAACCAATCACGTCTCCAAGTTGAACGCGTGCTGGGCTGAGGTGCAGGTTTTAGTATGCCTTTTTGTGGAGGTTTAGCATTTGCGGTAGAAATTGGACGTCGGTAGGGTATAGGCTTTGATCTTGCTGGTTTTTCGATATTTTGAGACTCGTCATGATCATCATCAGTCAAAGGTACAGCAGATGAATCTAACATTCACAACAAAAAAATAGAACGATGTATATAATAAACTTGATGAATTGATTGATTTATTAATAATGAAACGAATTCCATGAAATTAAAGAATTACTATTGTTTTCTTTTTCAAAAGTTTCTTCTACATTTTTATTATTATTGATTTTTTGATCCAATAGCCATTGTAAAATAGACTCAAATCCGAGACCCTTATTCTCATTTATAGCAGTTTCAGCAATAGACTGCTCAAAACCCATTGACACCAATTGTAAGAGGACATCATTCGAGTTTATTGTACTGTCTTCGTTCTCATTTTCTGTTACTTTCTTGAGAACTTCCTCTTTTTCTTTATTATTTTTAGTAGTAGTAACAGTAAATGATCCTGAAAAACCGCTTTCCGACTCTACTGTACTCTCAACATTTGCTTGATCACTAGATAAGTTTGGCGTGTTATCATTTTCTTCAAGCGAACTAAGCATAATTAATATATATATATATATTTAAAATTTTTTTTTTATTTTCTATATACAACTAATAAATACCCATTCATTGGTGAATTAAAATCGAAACATATTATATTCCAACTGAATTTTTAAGGTTTGTATGACATCCATCACAAATCCAATTTTCCGATTAAGGGAATAATAGCATGAACTTGACCGTTAAAGACATTTTTCAATAAACGAAATTTGTTTCTTTATAATAATACTATATAAAACTATGAATATATTGCTGAGAGCCATAATTTTCATTGGTGTAAAAAAATCAATCGTTTACTAATGTTGTATACAACCCTTCATTTTCCCATTATTATAATTATTATAATTTCCATGACGGCAACTAAAAGTTGGATCACCTAATATTATTGGATAAATTTTATGTCATGTGATATCTTCTTTTGTTTGGACAGTATATAATATATATACTTGACATGTATTATAGATTTTTTAAAACATTAGGAAAAATTTATTCAAAATAAACAGAAATAATTAATATACTGTATGTGTATATTTATTTACTCTATTGCTATATATATATATATTTTTCCTAACCAACCAACTAAACTAACTGAACATAATTTCTCTTACTCTATCTCACACACACTATATTATATTCTATATTTATTTCTTTGAACCATGAACGGTGACATTGAAACTAATGGTTACAGGTAATTCAACTTCCTTGCCTTCGATTTCAACCTTGATTTTACCTTTTGTATTAGTTGTTGTCCATCCATAACCAGTAGAATATTTATGAGGTTTTGCATCCATAGTGTACAAGATTTCATCATTTGAAGATGAAGAAGATTCACCACTATTTCCATTATTTGATGTTTCTTTACTTTCTTCTTCTTTTTTATCGTCTCCTTCTTTTTTATCATCAACTTCTTGTTTTTTATTTGCTTCATCAACATCTTGTTTGCTTGAAACAGATTTAGAAATAACCAATTTAAGATCTTTGGCATTAGATAAAAAATCCTTCAAAGTAGGAAGATTGGATTGTTCATTTTTCTATTAATAAATTATTATTTATTATTATTAAATATAAAAATTATTGTTATTGTTATTGCTCTACCAATATAAAGAAAGATGTAATAGTATAAGTATATAATATAAAAATACCTCAGTTTTTGCTTTTTTAGTCTTAGTAGCGCCTTTGGATGCAGTCGAGGAAGAAGAAGAAGCTTCAGCTTTTGCTATTTCAGTTTTAGTTTTAGCAGCACGTCTTGGGTTTATTTTGCGTTCAACAGTAGATTGTTCCTCAGTGTTTGTCTTTCTTTTACGTGAGGAAGAGGTAGTGTTGGCGGTAGCACTAGCGTTAGAAGCAGGTTTACTATTATCTTCAGCAACTTCACTTGTCATATTTAATATGTTAGTTTTATTTTTTTGTTGTGTTGTAAAGAAAAATAATTATTTTTTTAAAGAATAAACAACTATGTGATATTTATTATGATTTAAATTATATTATTTTATCACAATTAATTCGATATTATCACATAAAAATAAATAACAGGTGTATTATTATAATATAAATATAAACAATTTATTTATTATATTTTCTTTGCATCAAATGATAATAATCGAATAAATAATAATAATAATATATTTTTCTTATCCGTAATTTAATCTAAAGACATCATGGTATACCCAATACGTGCCACTTTCGGGTACAAGATAAAAAACTTGGGAGAATCTTTGAGTATTTGTTTCTTGGTCGATCTAACAACAATAAATACTAGAATAAATAAATAATGATATTACTATTGTTTTCTTTATATTATTTCCATTATTTCCTCCTACCAATAATTCACCAGTAACCATAACAATTATACTATTAGATGTTGATGGTTGTGCATCGATTGTAGTAACTCTATGAGCAACTTGTTGAAATGGCAAACTCTAATAATAATAATAATGATAACAAATGATAATGATAATGATAATGATAATGATATTGATATTGTGTTAAATAATAATAACGTATGAATAAAATAATATGTTAATAATATGTTAATACGATGTTAATACGATGTTAATATATTAATAATAAGTTAAATAGTTACCGTTAGTTTTTCAATAATTGCATTTACACCTTTAAATGGCGCTCCTTCAAACGTGAGCATTGAAGTTTCTCTCTGTTAAAAAATCATTTTTTTTTTTTTAATATAATAATTACTCAATGTATTATTATGTTTAAGATCTATTAATGATCTTTAATTAAATATGATTGAACACATATTTTCATTTCTATAATGTCATATTAAACGCGTTATCTCGATAACTTATTCCTTCCTTCCGTTCATTTGATTATTATTATTATTATTATTATGATCAATATTAATAATATTGTAATTACTCAAAAGACTTACGTAAAGTGGACGAAGTTCCAATCTGTTAGAGCCAAATATTGAATAATAATACTGGATGAATTGATTGGCAACTGTGTCAATATCTGCCATGTTTGTCCTTAAATAATAATATTTTCTTTTTGTTTTATAATAAATATCAAAAAAGAATATTATTCTTTTTTTTTTGTACAACTTTATTATTATCATTAAATATCATGTGATCTACATGAAAAGCTAGCAATTTTAAAGTTGTTTTATCAAAATAAAACTTGAAAAAAAAGGTTTCTCCAAAAGTATTTAAACAACAAAAGAAAAAGATCATTAAATTACAAAGCAAATGTTTGTAATAACAATTTATCTTTGGAAATGTTACCTATACTTGTCGTCGAAGATTTGGTTCAATTTTCGCCTGTACGTCCTTCTTATGTTATTAGATATCAACCTAGAAAATATTTTTTTAACAACATCGCAAAGACAAAGAAATGATTAAGTTTTATAAATCCTTTATGAAATAAGCATGGAAATATATCAGCAAGAACCAGAGAAATTATCAATCAAAAATTAATGAGGAAAATCTTGTAATTTTACCATTCATGTCGTTAGCAGCTGAAAAGTTTTACATGATTTTTTTGATTATTATTATATGCCCTTTGATGGAACATGCAATGATCCAATAATTTTCTAAATCTGAAATTTTGAGGCATTAGATGAAGATCACTCGATTAACCAATTATTTCTACAAGATGATGCTTGCGTGATGTGCAATGGGACTATTGGTATTGCAACAAAAGTGATTTATGGTTGAAAACATTGAAGTGGCATTTTCAACTCCAACAAGTATATATAAGCAAAATAATTTTGAAGTCGATGGCAAAAGTGCATCAAGACAAGAATTCCCTTTCCAGGATGCATTTGCACTAACAGTTCATAAGACCCAGGGTTTAACTTTAACGAGTCGGGCTCATTTGTTAGAAAAATTGGCCTCAATTAAAGATTTCGAACTAATCCGAATTATTAATGGACCCGAATTCCATTGAACCAATTTTTCCTAATTCAAATCCAAAAACAATCTAAAGACACTCCAAATGAATATATGATTCTTTTAAAAACACAACCACGAAGGAGGATTTACTTGCATATATAGCTGAATATCTTTGGTCAAACAGCAAGCAGATTTGGATTGACAAATTACGAACATTATTAACAACTATCCTAGATGCACAGCTTCCATAGACATCAATTCAAGAGCTAATTAAAACTGCACCGGTGTTTGCACCTTGTTATAATAATGCATGTATCAATGGAATGGCCATAGAAATTAACATCAGCATCACATCAAATCTACCAAATTGTATTTTTGAACCTGTGGTATTAAACTGGATTTTCAATGGTATAAGTAGGAAAAAACATGGGAACAAATTACACACAACAACCTGCTGTCTGATATTTTCTTTTACTCGTGAAAACAATACTAGCCAAAATAACAAACATCATAAAGAATATAGCAGAACGGTGTCTTAAACAAGAAAATACAACTTCTGTGGAAGAAACTGGTCTAGAAAATGTTGAATAAAGAAAAAGAACAAGGGTATGGCAACGGAAAAAGAGAATGGAAACAAAAGAAGGTTTGAAAGAACATGTGATAATTGCACTTGATCAACGGCTATAATCACAAAAAAAAACAAAGAAATTGCAAAAGAGAAAAGACAAACTGAACAACCTCGTACCATTAAATTCCGTTTCTTCCCATCAAAAGATCTAGAAAATAGTTTAATGAAATGACGTGATATAAAATTGATTGATCCTATCTATCTCATGAACAAGAACATTTGAATACAATCCATTATCCCTTCTGGAAAATAAATTAAAAATTCAATGACGGAGAGAATATATTGACGATGAGAAGAAATATTAATTAAATTTCCAAGACATCATTAAACGGGCACATAGTTGGGGATGTTAATTGAATATAATTAAACTGAGTTTAAACACAAATTCAATTTAATATTTTTAATATCTGCTTCAAACATGCTTTCAATTATACTTTAAAGATGACATCATAAATAGTTTGATAATTTTCATCTTTAATAAATTATAACATGACTGAAGAACAAATTCTAGAATATAATATCAATATGTTTTTTTCT